ACATTGATCATTTGTTTTGTAATTAGCTGTACCTTCTTTGATTTGTAATATCACTTATAGCTTCTCTCCACATATTGAGGTTTCTAAATAACTGTCATAAAATCTTTGGAAAGTGACCTCCTACTATCACTTTTTGAGGCATTTACCTTAAGTGACAGAGGGAAAATATGAATTGCTTTTTTAGGTCTTTCTTATGAGAATGAAGGTTTTTACCTGAGGTATAGTTTACAACAATTTTTTTTCAATTTGCTCATAATAAAGCAGTACACTAATATATTGTAAGAAATCCAAAGAATTATTTGCAGTTAGTATCCTGTGCACAACATGAGAATCATAAAATATTCACTTATAAAAAAAGAAATGTAGCCTTAAAATTATGCCATCATTTCAACAGAAATTTAACTAACTTGAATTTATAAACTTAACAAGTGAAAATTTTGAAATAGTATTTCCTACTTCCTTTTAGAAAAGCAGTGTTAACTTTCCACTGCATCTGAACAAGGTGAAATAAAACTGGAAAAAATAGCATGTACATTGGCACAAACAAATGCTTAAAAATTTTTTTTCCCAAGTTAAGCTCATTTGATTTTAAAGTCAGGCTGCGATAGATGCTCTCAATTCTATTTTTCAGCATTTCTGATGCCTATTTAATCATAAAAATTTTTGAACAGGGCTGAGGCCAAAAAGGATAGAAGGCATAGGGAAAGGATTGGGAACAGAGTATGAATCAAGGTAGAGGCCAAAGGGAAAGAAAAGATAACAATGGCAGAGAGAGAAATTAAAACAAATGGGGCAGAAGCTAGAGAAAGACAGAAGACTTTATCTAATGTAATAGGCTGATGACGAATTAAGAAAAGTAAGATCATAAGTTGTCTTAAGGATTCCAGAGCATTCAGTACCTTGATTACTCTTCTTCCAAGATCATCCAGATTAAATAGAGCTTCCACCACATCATTTATAAAGCTAATATTTTAAAGTTCTAGCCAGAAAGATAGAAATATCAAAATTCATTACATTTTCTAATGATTAACTAGAATGGTAAACACTGAAATACATTTGGTGGTCATTATTAATATTCTTTCTAATAAACTAGAAAAGCATGTAAAGCATATTTATCTAACAACCTCTCATTGATCTACTAAATGCTTAGATGTGATCATTGAAAAACTATGAAAATAAGTGTGAATTTTCATCCTTCAACTTTTTCAAATGTTAATTTCTCTCAAAATAATACTTATGATATTATAGTTTTTGAACAAGTTGCTTATCTCAGCAAACGTATAGCATTCTTTCTCAAAGAAAAATTATCTGCAAAAATGTTAAGGAACTTTCACATTCAGCAAATTATTTCTACCCCAAACAGGTTAATCAAGTAATCACATGAAGAGGCAAAAAGTTATACTTAATAACTATAAATCTTGTAATTGATAAATATGTTGGTTCTAAGGTAAACCTCAAAGTAGCAGAGAAGTTGATTTCATAAAGTCTGTCTTCAATATGTTGTGATTATATTTTGAATTGTATATGCTCCAATGCCCATCATTAACTCCTATCTGAAAATAATAATCACAACCAGAAATGCAGTTATTGTTGAAGGATTTTTGTGAATTCAAGGAAGAACAAGATGTCGTTCCAGTTCTTCTCACCAACTTTAGGTAGTAGACCAACCAAACTATTTTCCAAATCTTGAAACATAACTTAATATCCTTCTTTTAAAAAACTTTTATAACTATAATTAATATTAATTTCTGAAGTGATGTACATGGTTGTTAACTAATGTTCTCTTCCATCTAATTTGTTTATGTGTCCATTAAACTTTCATAATAAAGAATGACTTTTGGCCACAGATCCTAGCTTTGACCTACTGATATGTCCAAGAAAACCCTGGCATCTCATTCTCAGTACGCTGAACCCTTGAATAGAAATAGCCTGCGGGGGGTGTCAGACTGGTGTGCAGCAGCCCATACACAACACGTAACCTGATTACAGTGCTTTACTAAGGTGCATTATTTATGACCCTTGGCAGCTACAAGCTATATTACACTGTATTACGCAAGTATTGCATCTGTGGTTTCAGAAATGGAGGAGAAATAGATTTTAATAAATATAGGTCATATTTGATAAGACAAAAATAAATCATATACAATGTAACAAGATGAGTACTTTAACAGTCTATCTAAAAAGCTATTAATAATTATTACTTTAGTGTTGAAGCAGTTGATGCTATTTTTATGCAAAGTTTTAGATCACAAATCATATTGGAATGGGAATTAGGTATTTCTGGTGCTGGCCAGATCTGAGTCATTTTGCACAATGCTTAATAAGAAAATCTTCCACTGTGGTTACTGACCATCTGCTGCTATGTCGACCTAGAAATATGGGATTCTATACAAGGGTATGAGTGGTCAGTGTGCTGTACATGGGATACAGTCCTCACTTTTCCTGAAACCCTTACATGGCTCAAATCCTGTGTTCTTATGCATCATATCCTCTAACCTCTCTGCCTACATTAGGAACAGGTGTTTCTTAGAATAAAAATTATGGTAGTTTATATATTTTCCTCCCATTCTAACGTTGTTTAATCCTCAATACCTCCAGACACATTGCTAAGACACTAAATCAGATTTTCTCCCAGAACCCTTACAACTAATTCCCCACCAAATATACTGAGGGCTCATTAGGTGTCAGGATCTTGCTGAAGCTTCTGTCACGCATATTCTCCTAAAGATCACAATAATCCAATGAGCTAATTACAAGCTGTTCCCAGCATAAGATCCTAGTTTCTCCTTTGCCTTTAGCTACTTGCTCTGGTGTTTCCATGATAATATACCTAGGTCAGTATATTTTTCTATAAGCAGGTTTTGTGATTCTTAACTAGACCTAGAAGAACCCAGAAGGCAACTGGAAGGGAAAAGTGAGAGAAAGGAAAAGAAGAGGTAATTACCGTCATGAAACCATTCAGGTTTTGTAAGACAAATACAATTTTTGTAAGCACAATTTTTATTACAAGTGATTTAAAATTTAGTCTTTTAAAGTTCTGGTAGTATTCAAGGTCAAGGGTACTTCACGCTTAAGCAACATATATTAAAACCTTATACCTTAAGCTTATAAGTGCAATCATTGTTACCACAATACAACCCTTGCCCCAGTGTCAAGTTTTCTGAATAGAAGTAAATTCAGGGTTTAAACAACCATCCCTTAAGACCTGACTATTGAGCTCTGGTTAAGAGTCCAGCCTCCCTGTGGTATACATGGAAATGTGCTATGCAGATCTCACTTCAAAGAGACTGCCCAACTGCAAGAAGTATAGTCAACAGATAGCCTTCATCTTATAGCTTTTTAAGGATATTCTTTAGCTGCAGAGTTGCCTGTCTCAAAGGTCAATCTTCTTGCGGGCAGCCCATATCCAGTCACTTGGTGAAGCAGGGTTATGAAGGCCTGGCCATTTTTGCCTGACACAGGAAAGTCTGACGTGGACAATATTCACTATGGAACTTTCTGCAGGGTTGGTGGGGATTTCATCAAGCTGCTTTGCAGTTTAGTCCCTTCCTCTTTTCAAAAGTGCCCCTTTCCCATCCTTGTCATAGATGTTGATCTCTAACAAACATCTGGCATCTCAGACTCCATCTCAGTCTCCATCTCAGTATCTTACAAGTAACAAGTGATCTCAGGAGGGCTCTGAGAAACCATGCAGTAAGATTGTTTTGGGGATAGATCACTCATACCCACATAAAAAAGAGGGCTCCATCATTGGTTGGGATGAAACTTCAACAGCTGGTGGCATAAAGTGTCAGATCCATTGTTAAAACTTCCACTGGAGGTTAGTTAGGAGCTTTTACCAGTAGAAAGGAGTACACTGGGCTCAGCCTATTGAGTATTTGATAAATATGGAAGAAATAGTCACTATAAAGATAATGAAAATAAGAGAGGACACAAACAGATGTTAAAGCATTCCATGCTCATGGTTAGAAAGAAGCAATATCATGAAAATGGCCATACTACCCAAAGTAATTTATAGATTCAATGCTGTCCCCATTAAGCTACCAATGACTTTCTTCACAGAATTGGAAAAAAAAACACCTTAAACTTCATAAGGAACCAAAAAGGAGCCTGCATAGCCAAGGCAATCCAAAGCAAAAACAAAACAAAACAAAACAAAAACAACACAAAGCTGGAGGCATCACACTACCTGAGTTCAAACTATATTACAAGGCTACTATAATCAAAACAGCATAGTACTGGTACCAAAACAGATATAGACCAATGGAACAGAACAGAGGCCTCAGAAGGAATGCCACACAACTACAACCATCTGATCTTTGACAAGCCTGGAAAAAACAAGCAATGGGGAAAGGATTCCTTATTTAATAAATGCTGTTGGGAAAACTAGCTAGCCCTATGAAGAAAGCTGAAACTGTATCCCTTCCTTACATCTTCTACAAAAATTAACTCTAGATGGATTAAAGATTTAAACATGAAGCCTAACACCATAAAAACTCTAGAAAAGCTAGGCAATACCATCCAGGACATAGGCATGGACAAGAACTTCATGACTAAAACACCAAAAGCAATGGCAACAAAAGCCAAAATAGACAAGTGGGATCTAATTAAACTTAAGAGCTTCTACACAGCAAAAGAAACTATCAATAGAGTGAATCGGCAACCAACAGAATGGGAAAAAATTTTGCAGTCTACACATCAGACAAAGAACTAATATCCAGAATACACAAAGTACTTAAATTTACAAGAAAAAAACAGTCCCATCAAAAAGTGGGCAAAGGATACGAACATTTTTCAAAAGAAGACATTTATGCAGCCAACAACGTATTTTTAAAAAGCTCATCATCACTGGTCATTAGAGAAATGCAAATCAAAACCACATTGAGGGAGCGCGCGCATGCGCACGTGCGGGAGGGGGGCGGGAGGGGGGCGGGAGGGGGGCGGGAGGGGGGCGGGAGGGGGGCGGGTGGGGAAGGATTGCAGGAAGGATTAGGAGGTGAGGCTCGTGTGCCTGCCCCCGCCCTGGCCCCCAGTGCCCACCCAGTCGGCCTGGTACAGCCATCATCAAGGTGATCCTAATTTTCAATAACCACGGGAAACCGCGGCTCTCCAAGTTCTACCAGCCCTACAGTGAAGATACACAACAGCAAATCATCAGGGAGACTTTCCATTTGGTATCTAAGAGAGATGAAAATGTTTGTAATTTCCTAGAAGGAGGATTATTAATTGGAGGATCTGACAACAAACTGATTTATAGACATTATGCAACGTTATATTTTTTCTTCTGTGTGGATTCTTCAGAAAGTGAAGTTGGCATTTTAGATCTAATTTAAGTATTTGTGGAAACATTAGACAAACGTATTGAAAATGTCTGTGAACTGGATTTGATTTTCCATGTAGACAAGGTTCACAATATTCTCGCAGAAATGGTGATGGGGGGAATGGTATTGGAGACAAACATTAATGAGATTGCTACACAAATTGATGCACAAAATAAGCTGGAAAAATCTGAGGCTGGCTTAGCGGGAGCTCCAGCCCGTGCTGTATCAGCTGTAAAGAATATGAATCTTCCTGAGATCCCAAGAAATATTAACATTGGTGACATCAGTATAAAAGTGCCAAACCTGCCCTCTTTTAAATAAAAATTTTTAAAGGCTACTCCCAGGTAAAATCGAGGGGGAAAAGTCATCTAAGTTTACCATGCAGTTGTTTACCAAAAATAGAGGAGGAGAGTCTTTAACTTTTGCTCTTGGATTTAAATCAAGGTACTGTACAGAAGTTGTGTAAAATCGTTATGAAAGTTCAATGTTGCTTTTCTTGCTCTGTGATTTTAAAGAAATTGAGTAGTTCCTATGTGATTTTTTTTTTTTTCTTTTCTAAACTGCATTCCTGTGTCCACCTACAGCATGCCTCTATGTATTGGCTACTACAATGTTTTAAAAAGTGTTTCAGATATTTCTTTAATTATGTACAACCTAAAATGTTGGTGTTTTGTATGGATCACAAGTGCAGCATTCCTTAATTCCTTCTGCTATTTGTCACACAATTGTTATTTAAAGAACCAAGTATGTATTGCATGAAAACATTATGACTTTTTTCTCTTAGTTTAAATAAACTCCAAGGTAACTGGACTTCTAAAGCACCTTTCTGTTTGCCTGATATCTACTTTAGCAATAATTTTTTTTTACAACCCTCTGATCCAACAAAGTAAATAAAAGTATATTTTATCACTGTTAAAAAAAAAAACACATTGAGATACCACCTCATGCCAGTTAGACTGGTGATCATTAAAAAATTAGGAGACAACAGATGCAGGAGAGGATGTGGAGAAATAGGAAAGCTTTTACCTGTTGGTAAGAATGTAAATTAATTCAACCATTGTGGAAGACAGTGTGGTGATTCCTCAAGGATCTAGAACTAGAAATACCATTTGATCCAGCAATCCCATTACTGGATATACACCCAAAGGATTATAAATCATCCTACTATAAAGATGCATGCAAATGTATGTTTATTGTGGCACTGTTCACAATAGCAAAGACTTGGAACCAGCCCAAATGCCCATCAATAACAGACTGGATAAAGAAAATGTGACACATATACACAATGGAATACCATGCAGCCATAAAAAAAGATGAGTTCATGTCCTTTGCAGGGACATAAATGAAACTGGAAACCATCATTCTCAGCAAACTGACACAAGAACAGAAAACCAAACACCACATGTTCTCACTCATAAGTGGGTATTGAACAATGAGAACACACAGACACAGGGAGGGGAACATCACACACTGGGGCCTGGGGGGCTAGGGGAGAAACAGCAGTGGGTAGAGGGACTGGGGAGGGATAGCATTAGGAGAAATGCCTAATGCAGATGACAGGGCGATTGATGCAGCAAACCACCACCATGGCATGTGTAATACCTATGTAACAAACCTGCATGATATGCACATGTACCCCAGAACTTAAAGTATAATAAATTAACTTAAAAAAGACAATAGAATTGAGTGACTATTTCTAAGGGCCATGGATGTTCTACAGAAAGAAACTGTACAGCAAAGGGTAAATGACAGCCAACTGAAATCCAGGCATGAAAGCCAGTAAACCTCTTTGGTTACATAAATATAATAATTTCTCTTCACTCACAGAAGAGGGAAGAGAAAGTTGAGAACCATGACCAGTACCTAACAGTATTAGTGACTTTATTTCAAACAAAATTACATGTAAAACCACAGGAAGCATGTTATGTGTGGGTGGGGGAAATGTGTGAGTTTGCTGGGAAAACCCCAAAATTGCTGTAATATTTAGCCAATGTGGACTTACAGAAGCCAGGAGAATTCGCATAGAAGTGGATTCTGAGGATGTTTGATCAAGAAGACTAAAACATTAAATTAGATAGCAAAGCACTTACTGACTTTGGAACTCTTTCTCCAAATGCACCCCTAGCAAAGATTCCACTACAGCATGAATTCACTACTAGGATAGCTCCTAGAAGCATAAAAAAAGATGATTCATTGTAAGATAAGTTGAAATGCCAGAATTGTCATGGCAAACAGTAGAGAAAAGAAATCAAGGGCCAAGGGAAGTGGGTATCCTTGAATGAATACATCACATAAGGTTGGAAAAAACCACCAAATGATTACATTCCATAAGGAAGGCCAAGAAGACACACTTTTTTTTTTTTTTGCCAAGGCCACAGTACAGGAGTGTAGTGATAAGAGGTGTACCAGAATCACCAAAAAGTTTAATGGTGGCTTTCCAAGTCAAGGTTGACAACAGAAACATTGTTACATAAATTGCTTTGACAGCAACAAGGATAATAGGACTCGAATAACATACAAATTAGGTAGCAGCATTTAATTTCCAGAGACCAAGGAATTGTAATCATTGTAATGACTACGCAGGTCAGGGCTTCCCCCAAGAGAACCTGAACTGAGAAGAGATTCAGAGGTAGTTAATGCAACACAATATCCGAAGGATCATAGAAATGCATAACCAACAACAGTACTATCCTAATTCTCTGGTCCTGTGTCATGTGTGTAGGAGCATTTAGGTATCATGCAGAATACCAACTGACCCATTTCAGTGGTAACTTTTTATTGGTTGGGCCACATGAGCAAAAGGTGGCTGATATATGTGAGACCTCAATAAGTCATGTGTGCTCTAACGGGAAGGAAATTTTATGGACTACCACAACCATAAAATGTTTAGGGATTCAATGGTTAGGGGTGTAACAAGCCATCCTCTCCAAAGAAACAAATCAAAGTGTCACAGCATGTGCATCCTACCATAGATAACTAACTACACTGGTAGGCTTTTTCTGTCTCTGAAATTAGTGCATTCCACATCTATATTCAGGATGATATAAAAGACTGTCAACCTTAAATGTGGTACAGAGAAGTAAAGAGCTCCACAATTGGTCCAGGCGGCAGTGCAGGCAGCCCTCACACTTGGACCATGTGATCTGGCCCACTCTGTGGTGTAGGTGGTATGAGTGGTGTGAAAAGATGTCATACGGTAAGTCCCAGTGAAGAACCACAAAGTAGGTCCCCTAAAGTTTTAGGGCAAGGTCTTGCTATCTGCAGTACACAATTATATACCTTTTGAAAAATAATTCAGGGCAGGCTACTGAGCTGCGGTAAAAATGAAATGCCTGACTATAATTCACCAAGTGAACATTTGGCCAGAACTGTCCATCATTAGTTGAGTCCTGCAAGACCCACCAATTCATAAGTTAGTGTCGCACCAGGAACAACCCATCATAATATGAAAGTGACTAAGCACAAACAGGATTGGAATCAGTCACTGCTTCCTTCCCTCCACTGATTTTTATAGCTGAATGGGGATCTTGTATGACCCATTGAAGAAGAAAAGGACTCTTCAGGATTATCGAAGAAAAAGTTTAGAGATGAGGAGGCTGTGTAAGATATATGAGATGTCTATCAGATGGATATACATGGGATGTCTATGAGATGGGCATATGGGAATGAGCATGAAACTGGAATTTACATGTCATATGCCAATGCTCATGAAGGAATATCAATCACAGAAGACACGGTAATCAACTAAGTACACAAAATAACTCAAGCAGTGTCAACCAACTTCTGTTTAATCTCCCCAGTGCTGACCAAGAGAAAAAATGCATTAAGAGACCACAGTGGCAGGAAAGATTACGCACGTGCCAACGCATGGACTCACACCACTGAAGTCCAATTTAACTACTGAATTTCCAACCTACCAACACCAGATACCAATGTGGAGGCCTCGATGCAACACCATGCTTCAAAAAGTCCAATCAATCATATAAGTGACTTCTATCATGGAAGTTCCATTCATTTATACTCACAGGACTAGATTTAACACATATTCCAGGCATGAGTTTGCTTTTCCTGCCCAAAAGCCTTAGTCATCATTCTAGCTGAGGAATTATGAAATGCCTAATCTACCACTATATAATCTAACATACCATTTCCTCAGACCAGAAAACCATTTACAACATAGGAAGTGCCATTGTGGGTCCGTAATTTTGACACTCACTAGTAGAGCCTTGAAATGTCTTGCTGAATGAGTAACTAAAGCCCCAAATCAGAGGCAGTGCTCAATGAAGATGGGGTGCCATTTTCTGAGACACAGTATTTTCACTGAATAAAAGGATTTTTGTGTAGCGTTTTGTGTCTGATAAGAATGCAAATGCCCCAGAACCAAGAAGTAGAAGCAGGAATGGCTCCCTGTACCACAGTAAAGAAAGATCCATGGAGAACCTGGTGCTTCCTGTTCCTGAAACTGATTTCCAGAGATAAAGTCCCTGATCTATAAAAAGGTAACAATTTTACCAGAGAACACCATAAAAGCCCTGTAGAATTATAAACTATGACTATTATCTGGAGATTTGGAGCAAAAAGGGAGTCAGCATCTCAGCAGGAGTAGCGAAGATAAATCATTAAGGGTTAGGACTGCTGTTATACAATGAAGACAGTGAGAGATACATGTAAGACTCAGATGATCCAGTTGAGTGCCTCACGGTATTTCCTTGACCAACTGTAAGTGTAAATGGACAGATCCAGCAATGCAGGCATGAGAAGGACATGGTAACCATAGATCAGACTTCTTGGGGATGAGAGTCTGCATAATGCTACCAGATACATTACGAAGGCCAGCAGACATAGTGCCTGATGATGCGAAGATCTAAAATGAATAGTATAGGAGAAATAAAATAAGTAGCAATATTGGTCCTGAGACCAACTACAGCAAAGCAACTGTAGTTAGTTCTGCTAACCTCATTTTTTAAAATTTCCGCTAAGGAAAACTGGCCTGCCAAAATCCTGGAGGAGCTGTTACGCGAACATATGTGTAGAAGTACATACAAATGACAAAACAGGTAGACTATGATAGATGGTCTATCATATTATTGGAAGATGTGCCACCCAAATCCTCCTCCAAGTAAGGACTTGCTGCCTTGGGGTTGCCACAGTTGTATTAGTCATCTACTGCTGCTAACAAATTATCCCCCAATTTTAGCAGCTTAAAACAAGAATTTTATCTCAAATTTCTCTTGGTCATGAATTAGCACATAGCATCGCTGGGTGTCTCTCACTCAAGTCCTGTCCCAGGACTGTAGTGAAGCTATCACCTGGGGCTGCGAGTGTATCTGAGGTGTCGTGTGTGTGTGTGTGTGTGTGTG